ATCACTGGATACTATACAAAAATGAAGAAGCTTTGGGAAGAACTTAATACCCTGAATGTTCATGCCAAATGTGCTTGCAAATGCACCTGTGGAGCAAAAGAGAATATGCACAAAGCGGAACAAGATAGAAGACTAATTCAATTTCTCATGGGATTAAATAAAGTGTATACTGTTGTGAGAGGAAGTATCCTGATGATGAACCCTCTCCCAAAATAGCCCAGGCCTTCTCAATCCTCATTCAAGAGGAGAAACAGAGGGAAGTTAAGCCAAATAACAATTTCTCAATGGAATCTGCTGCCTTAAACGTGAGTGGCTAAGAAAATGGCAATTTCAGAACTAGCTACAATCAACAGGGAAACAACAACACATTCAGTGGATATAAGGGAAACCAGCTTAACAACAGACCTAGGCCATTCTGTGACTACTGCAAAAGGCCAGGGCACATTAAGGACAAGTGCTACAAACTTCATGGATTCCCACAGAGCTCCGGGTTCAACAGGGGAAGAAGAGTTGCTGGAAATGTTTTTGGACCATCAAATGAAGCTGACACAGTAAGGGATGATGGTAATGGCTCTCAGGAACAGGAACAGAATCGACACATGCATAGCCTGACTAAAGAACAATATGGCCAACTGCTCAGTATTCTGGAAAATTTTCAAGGAGGAGCAGAGAAATCCACAAATAATTGCATCAATGGAGGAGCTGTGAACTTTGCAGGTATATCAGCATGCTCTACTCATCTTGATACCAATGATCATTTATGTGATAGTTCTAGTTCAAATGTTGACACTTAGATCCTTGATTCTGGGGCCACAAATCACATGACACATAATAAATCAATTCTAACCAATGTTACAACCTTAGTATATCCATACTTAGTCACACTACCAAATGGTTACAAGGTCAAGGTGACACTGATTCGTGATGTAATTCTAAGCCCAAAATTCATTCTCAAAAAGGTCCTTTTTGTCCCCAGTTTTAAGTTCAATCTGATATCAGTCCACTCATTGACTGTTCAACTTGATTGTATTATAGTATTCACCAAGTACATCTGTATTCTTCTACAGGGCCCTTCACTGAAGAGGCCACTAGAGATTGGTAAAGCCAAGACTGGTCTATATCTTCACAGTTCAAGCAACTATCAACACTGGTTCAACTCTCTCTAATCCTTCTAGTGCATCCTTTCCATGTGTTACTAATAATGAGAGTAACATAGATTCTGTAGCTAAAACATCTAGTTCACTTCCTTATACTCAACTAGTCAATACTAATAAGGTAGTTCCTACTGCTCCTGTTAATTCCACCATGGCTATCCCACCTTACAGTAGTAGTACAACTGTAAACAGTTCCAGAAATAAAAGTGAGTCTTTCTTGTATGATAATGCATCTACTACAGAATATTTACTTGATCTTTTGTGGCATAACAGATTAGGACATGTACCTTTTGTCAAAATGAAAGGGATTCCTTCTATTCCTGTTACCTTTGCACCTAAACAGCCCTTTCTTTGTCCTATATGTCCAATGGCAAGGCAAGCCAGATTGTCTTTTCCAGAAAGAACAACATTAACTAATAAACCTTTGGAAACTACTACACATTGACTTATGGGGCCATACCATATTCTAACACACAACAAATACAAATATTTCATCACCCTTGTGGATGACTACAGCAGGTCCACATGGACCCACTTGTTAAGCTGTAAGAGCAATGCTATACACACCATTAAGGCCTTCTTTGCCATGGTAGAGCAGCAATTCAATACTAGTGTCAAAACTATAAGAACAGACAATGGCCTTGAGTTCAATAACAAGAGACCACTTTATTCTTACAATCAAAGTCTCAGAAGCTTTGGCTGTTTATGCTTCCCTACCACCCTCAAAACACACAAAGATAAGTTTGAACCAAGAGCTACTCCCCATGTTTTTGTGGGATATCCTTTTGGGACAAAAGGGTATAAGGTACTACATCTGGCCACTAAGAAGATAAGTATTTCAAGAGATGTAGTATTCCATGAGAATGTATTCCCATTTGCTATGAACATCAGGAAACTTCCCAAATGCTGAATCTCCAAATAACACTTCCTCTGATACACCTCACAGCCCTGCTGCTACTTTTCTTTCAACATATTTGCTCCCAAACTTCCTGAAAATCAAGCTAATGAAACACAGTCCAGTTGTCAGCAATTGATAGGAACTAGTCTACATGAATGTGAACCTAGCTCATATTAAAGCCTGCTTGGCAAGCAGCAATGACTCAAGAATTTCAAACATTATATGCAAATAAAACCTGGGATTTAGTTCCTCTTCCAACTGGAAAAAGGGAAATTGGGTGTAAATGGGTATATAAGATTAAACATAAGGTTGATGGGAGTGTGGAGAGATTCAAAGCTAGATTAGTAGTCAAAGGCTATACACAACAAGCTGGGATAGACTACACAGAAACTTTCTCACCTGTAGTAAAAATGACAACTGTTAGGACCTTAATAGCAGTAGCAGTCAAAAAGGGGTGGCAACTGTTGCAATTAGATGTGAACAATGCTTTTCTTCATGGAGATCTCCATGAAGAGGTATATATGGAGATACCACCAGGTCTAGTGGTGGATTCACCAGGCTTAGTGTGCAAATTGAACAAGTCCTTGTATGGGCTTAAACAAGCAAGTAGGCAATGGTATGATAAATTAACTGAAGCCTTGTGCTCAAGGGGGTACACCCATTAAATGCTTGATTATTCTATGTTTTATAAAAAGAGTGAAGGGTCAGTAGTGTTTGTAGCTGTGTATGTAGATGATGTCCTTGTTACTGGTACCCATCTGCAGGAGATTGAGTCCCTGAAAACCTTCCTACATGATACTTTTAAGATAAAGGACCTAGGAAGACTCCACTATTTCCTAGGACTAGAAGTTCAATATACAGAACAAGGGGTCCTCATGTCACAAAGGAAATTTACTGTTGATCTTCTGAGAGAGTTTGATTGTATAGACTGTCCATCTATGACCTCTCCTATGGATCCCTCAGTGAAACTGAAAGCTGATGAGGGAGCTCCACTAGCTGATCCCTCCTACTACAGGAAACTGATTGGCAAACTCAACTTTCTCACTAACACTAGATTGGATATTGCATATAGTGTACAACACCTCAGTTAGTTCATGCAAAGCCCCAGGGAACCTCACTTAAAGGCAGCATATCATGTCCTGAGATACTTAAAAGGTGTTCCATCTCTGGGTATTTTCCTCAACAACACTGCAGATTACAGTGTAAGGGCATTCTGTGACTCAGACTGGGCCACTTGCTCTCAATCAAGAAAATCAGTCAGTGGGTACATTGTACTAATTGGCAACATCCCCATCAGTTGGAAATCTAAGAAGCAGTCCACTATTTCATTGTCGTATGCAGAGGCTGAATATAGGTCAGCCATAATGGTAGTTGGTGAACTTGTGTGGTTGGCAAGACTTCTCAATGAACTTACTACTCCATTGACCTTACCTATTCCCATCTTTTGTGATAGTCAGCAGCCTTGCATATAGCAAACAATCCTGTGTTCCATGAACATACAAAACATATTGAGGTAGACTGCCACTTTGTGAGGGATCAACTACAGGAAGGACTCATTTCTCTCCATCATGTCTCTACTAATGAGCAGCTGGCTGATATCTTGACCAAGTCGCTAACAGGAATCAAACATGCTGCACTTCTTAGCAAGTTGGATGTGAGGTCCTCCCTTCCAACTTGAGAGGGGGGAGGGGGTGTTGAGATTATTTATTATTTTTCATCCTTTTCCCCTTGTATTAGTATTGAGTAGTCATAATTGATTCTTGAGCAATTGTACAAATACTATAAATATACTACTACCCCTGTATTTTCATTTCTTTTTTTTGTAAGTTGAAGAAATAAAACAAAATATGCTCCTTCTTTCTAGAAGGTTCATTTCGTGTAACTGCTTCTCTCTCTAACAATCCGCCATTAGAGCTCGAATTGAGCTCATCTTTCTTTGTCCTCGATTATATTCAAGTTTTCACAAAGTCATTATCAACAATAATACTTTGCATCATTTCCAACCACTTTATTTATTGGCTTTCAAGTGTTTCTTTCCAAGTCGTTATCATTTACGTAGTAATTCCTTTATGTTTGGCCATGGTGAATAGAGAGAAAAAGTTGCACCACTATATGAAGTAGAAGTAGAACTGTTACACCACCCTTTTCTAATTGTTCAAGAGTATGAAAACGAGGAAATAAATCACTTTTATTATTTTTCAACCTCTTACTAAATAATTTGGTTAAATATCCTCCCCCACCCACCCACCCACCCAATTCATACCCCCATCCTCCTTTTTTTTGAAGAAAACACAGTGCTAATAATTACATCGCTTTACCAATAGTTTATCAAACTTTGCCAGTATTTTGATATTTTGATGAGATTTCATGATAATTATATTTATTAATACTATCAATTTTAAAAATATTCATGAGATATTCTAAAAAGAGATATCTTAGTAGAGCAATTTAACGCGAATAGTAGCTTTGTATTTGACTTTACCATCATATTATGGTACTCAGATACTGGTAATTAGAGCATAACAACTTTTCATGTATTAACACATGAAAAAGCACCTGCTGCTTTTGCAAGCTTATTGAATAAAAATTGCTCTAATAATATAAAGAGCTCCTAAAAGAATTGTAATTGTGAGAATTTGGTAAAAACACGCTCTTCGTAGAGTAGATATTAAGCAAAGATATCCAAAGGTTGTGCTAGGATGGTAACTACTCCTTTATTATTAATAAAAAGAACTTTGGTTTCAAGCCTTGAGGATTTTGGAGTTGCGTTTCATATATAGGGAATGCTTTACCCCAAAAGCGAGACTGTTTCGACGACATTCAAATTAATCGAACCCCAAAATAGGTACTAGATATCAAATGGGAAACCCGAAAAAATGTAAAACAAGACAACCATAATGAAATTTAAATAACCTACTAAGTAATGAAGAAGTTAGGATTTTCCTGAAAAGTAATAAAGCCCATAAATAAACTAATAAAATATGTACACTTGCATAGTGAAGACTGAAGTGGCTTTCCATATCCTCCTTCCCCTATAACCAGGAAACATCTATCCACAGAAAGAAAGAGCAATGGATCTAGTCATGAGAACACAACAATAATTCACTATTCAACTAATGCTATCACATGGCTATGAGTCCCCTAAATTCTAGCCCTACCCAATAGACCATTCAACTTATTGCTTATTCCCCACTTTTTTTTTTTTTGTTTTTTTTTTCAAACTTATTTTTTGTCAGAGTCAGTTATTGTCATGGCTTAGCTCAGTCCATTGCATGTGTCCATTGCAGAAAATACATAACACCAATTATAGCCGCAAAAACTTCAAATAACTAGGCAGTGTCCTTTGTTATTTTTCCTCTTTGACTTCCCCCAATACATAAAGTATTTGTGTCTTCATAATCTGCAAAATCAATTGACTGTACGAAATTCAGCAATTATCTATCAATAATTGTTGTTGGTTAATATCTTAAGAAATATAGCATCAAATATACAAAACATTTCATGATAAAGCTAAGTTTGATTCATTTAACTATAAAATAATTAACACCTAAGGGTGTCGTATTTATATAGTCAACGAATATGGAGCAAAGACCATATGATCGGACCTAGTTCCAATCCCCCATGGGTCATGAAAATAATACAAAGTATATTTTTTTAATTTGCCTAAGAGTTAATAGGCGGACTAACATCGTACATGTATTATAATAATGTAGGTATCTAATAGAATAGTTTAAGGTGTATGAAAATTTGTTCTAACACCAATGTTAAAAAAAAGGCTCTGGAAAATAAAAACTTGCAGTCATTTTATGTTATAATGGGAATATAATTAAGAGAAAATGGGAAAAGAGAAGAAAAGAAACGAGAAAAAACACGAACATTGTACTTTATCTTATAAAAAAAAGTTTGTTTTGGTACTTGATTGGCTCTCTATGTGAACTTAACCAGTCAAAGCCAATTCCCTAATCAGTGCCAGACTGCTAGTTTTGAAGAATTAAGGTACTTGTACGCATTCTATATAATTTCATTAAATAACTATTGAGAAATAAAAAGAAATGCTTGAAAATGCTTCGACCAAATATAAAAGTCAAACTACGATAATTGTTTTTACGATATAAATTATACTACGTACTTACCAAAAGCAGTCTAGTAGGGATTATCTACTAGTCTATGACTGACTTCTTTTGTTTGCGTACGTCGTGAAAGCCCACTTCTCTTGTCCTTTTGTTTAGTACACCTACTATTTTAGACCAAAAAATATGCTATATTTAGAAACTTTATTTATTTCACTTTTCTTTACGTCTCTGGAAAATGATAAACAAAATGCAACAATAATAACAGAACAAAGATAATCGTTGTTTTGAAAGGAGAACACACCATGATGTGCTTCTGCGTAATCCTCATGTAGGCGCTTTGACATTGGAGTAATGTTGCTGTTCTCTATGCTCTGCTATTTTGACTCAAAAAACGGTTAATAAATATAATGAAAAAATGAGCTTTAAATTATATACACCATTGGAATATGATTAATTTCTAAAAATAATTGTCTCAAATATTATTTGTCATATTAGAAGTTCAAGAGTAAATTAATTATTTTTGAAGACTACAAATACCTTAATTATGAGTAAGTACTAAATGAAAGAGACTATATCCTAAGATATAAATAAGAGTAAAATAGTGAAAATCCTTTCTTATTTAATATTTTCTCAAGGGACGTATAAAAGATAAACACCACAAATAATGAAAATAATGTGTTTGAGGGGTGCAAAAATCGAAATAATGCTAGTTAAATACCTTGTGAGCGCAATAAGATGACGAACTATTTGGAGAAATCCCATAAAGAGCAGCTCTCTCTTGAAAGTTGTTGTTCAAGTGGGGCTGAAAAGGAGAGTCACATCACCTGCCCAAATTTAATGTAATATATGTATCCTCCTTACTCAACAACAACAATAAGATATAAAAAGGATACTCTAAAAGTACCAAAAGGAAAAGAAATATAAAAAGAAAAATCAAGCAATATACTTGTATGGGTCAGAACCCGACCCCACGATAATTAACGAGGCTAATCCCGTTTTAAGTTAATTCACGATTAATTAGTGGCACGATCACTGATAATTGACGATGTTCAACCCGTCCCTGGCTCGGTCAACAAAGGCCCTGGCCTATCCACCACTATAAATGCGAGATCTCAACGTGGTCACGGCCACTTATTGATAGCTCACGAAGCCCACAGCTATAAATACCAAGAGAAGGGACCCTAAAAAAGGGGGCTGCTTCTTCACCACTAGTAAAAGGAGAGAGAAACAAGAAAATATACCCCTCTTATGGGAAGAGAAAACACCATTGTAAGGCTCTGAACCTCTTCATGGAGAGGCAGACCAAACAAATATTATCAATAAAGGTTTCTAACGCTTCTCCCCCTAATTCTGAGTTCTTATTTTAGTTTCTTTCATCTGGTCCAACAGATTATTACGATTTGCTATGATTATCCCGGGATTTATTTATATTGTTTTGTACTCGTAAGATGTGTAACATTTTTTGAGCAAACAATTTGGCACCGTCTGTGGGGATTTCATAGCAAAATCGCGTAGTTCTTCCCTGGACCAAAAGAAAAGAAGCGCCAAACTCGAAGGGGAGCTCGAAGATCTCAAATCAAGATCTAAGTCCTCACTCTCTCTCCAATCTCAGATAGTCCAAACAAGAAGAAGGGGCCCCCTCCTTTCCTCAGGGGAGGTCTCTGTAAGGCATACGAACTCCGGTCGGAAACCGGCACGGAGATATCTCGAGCCGAGATTCGCCTCAAGACAGCCTATATACCCTGGTTGGGAAGACAATGGGTAAGCCGCTCAAGGTCTCGAATCCCAAAATGAGTTCCAGCACTCGATACCCACAATATGGGATTCAGGCTCTGTGCCCTCGTCATCAAGATCGACAAAGTTCAACAGCAGTTGAACCAAGACAGGCTATGCGCCTTCACCAACAAATTCAACTACGGTTGAACCGAGACAGGCTATGCGCCTTCACCAAAAAGTTCAACTACGGTTGAACCGGGACTCAGCTATGCGCCTTCGCCATTATATCAAGGCTATGCGCCTTCACCAACAAATTCAACTACGGTTGAACCGAGACAGGCTATGCGCCTTCACCAACGAGCTCAACTACGGTTGAACCGGGACTCAGGCTATGCAGACAGGCTATGCGCCTTCACCAACAAGTTCAACTACGGTTGAACCGGGACTCAGGCTACGTGCCTTCGCCATCAAGTTCAACTACGTTTGAATCAAGACAGGCGATGCGCCTTCACCAACGAGTTCAACTACAGTTGAACCGGGACTCAGGCTACGTGCCTTCGTAAAAATACAGCACGCACCAACAAATTCAACTACGGTTGAACCGAGACAGGCTATGCGCCTTCACCAACGAGCTCAACTACGGTTGAACCGGGACTCAGGCTATGCGCCTTCGCCATTATATCAAGGCTACGCGGTTGAACCGGGACTCAGGCTATGCGCCTTCGCCATTATATCAAGGCTATGCGCCTTCGTCAAAAAGTTCAACTACGGTTGAACCGAGACAGGCTACGCGCCTTCACCAGAAAGTTCAACTACGGTTGAATCAAGACAGGCTACGCGCCTTCACCAGAAAGTTCAACTACGGTTGAACCGGGACAGGCTATGCGCCTTCACCAACGAGTTCAACTACAGTTGAACCGGGACTCAGGCTACGTGCCTTCGCCAAAAAGTTCAACTACGGTTGAACCGAGACAGGCTATGCGCCTTCACCAACAAGTTCAACTACGGTTGAACCAAGACAGGCTACGTGTCTTCGCCACCAAATTTAACGAAGCCCAACAACAGTCGAACTGGGACTCAGGCTATGTGCCTTCATCATTAAATCCAACGAGCTCGACCTCGCTCGAACTATAAGGATGGACGCCTTCGTCCTCAACTTTAGCAAGTTCAACCACAATTGAACCGAGACTCAGGCCAAACGCCTTCATCTGTGAAAGCAAAGCCCGACCTCCAACTAATCGAAGCGCAGGATAGGCACCCTCACCATCCAAGTAAGTTCTCCCAACTCGAGTTAAGATTCGGGCCACGTAAAGTTCGGCCCCGGTCGAACTACGAGGCCGCGTTTTTTACTATCACAACCGGTAGTTCGACCGCGTCCGAACTGGGACTAAGGCTAAGCGCCGCTATCGCCAAATAACGGCTAAGACTCGCCCGCACCGAGTTGAAAAAGCAAGGCCATCAACTATATTATGCCTAAGGCCATTGCCGCCAACGGTCGACCTAGGTTTGACTGCGGCGAGTTAACGACCCGACGACAGTCGAAGTTGACTTTGTGGCTAAGGTCGTCGAGTCTATCACGACTAAAGTCGTCGATCCAAATTCGACTAGGGCCGCCAACGCCGACGTTCAACAAAAAGCGCAACAAAAACTCTAAAGAACGAAAGAAAAACAGTGACAAAAAATAAGCACAAGGCAGGCAATGGAAAAGAAAATTTATATATTTACAAAGTCAATGACGGGTCATCCCCGCTTACACCCGGCCAAAGCCGATCAATACAAGAAATAAAAAAATATTAATACAAGAAACGCCTAAAACGCCAAGCGCGAACAAGGCAAGAAAAAATGCACAGACATCTTTCTACTCGGTGCCGTCTGCGCCGTCGTCTGCACCAGCATCAACCTCCGGCGTCGCCGCGTCAAAACCACAATCGGCACGTGCCTCACGAGCCTTCTGACGCGCCCTCTCGAAAGCAGCTTCGGTCACGACGCCAGCCTCCCACAAACTCTTATATACATCACGCTGGGCCTCGGCAAAGACCCAAAGTTCTCGAGCCTGGCTGGAAGAAGCGGCCTGATCCCGTAGCCGCTGATTCTCTTCTTCTATGGTTGTGATCCGGTCCGCCATGACCTGGGCGTCCTGCTCAAAGACACCAACCCGCTCCTCGAGACTCGCCTCTCTAAAGGCCGCAGCATCCCTTTCCAATGCCCGTTGGGATTCGTGCACGCGGATAGCCTCCTCCAACGCCCCGGCCCTCGACGAAGCATCCCTCACTTGAAGCTTCAATGCCGCGACCTCACCTTCCAACGCGGTCACTTTCCCGCTCCATGCTGCAGCGGCCTCCGCCGCCTTGGCCTCGCCCCGGCGCTCGCACTCAGCTGCGACCCTCTTTACCGCTTCAAGCTCCTCATCCTTTCGGCGGAGCTGCTCCTCGAGAGCACTCGTCCTGCCAAGTATTTGCTGCATCTGAAGCTCCCGCCTCGCCAGCTCTTCGACCAAGGCCCGGCTGCGAGGATCATTCTTCAAGCGCACGCGCAACTCTCGGCACTGATTACGGTAGCGTCGATACTTTTCCAGTGCCCGCAAAAATATCCCCGAACGGACCTTGGCTCGACGAATGCTCTCCACCTCCAAGAGATAAGACTACAAAGCAAAGACAACGATCAGAATAAAAGAATAAACCTAAGGCAAAGAATAAGCGAACCGACGCAACAGTACATAACCTCAAGCCCATCACGGCTACTTCATTCATCAGCCCGATATCCGTAACGCCCCTCAGCGACGCATTCTCAGCCTCCAAGCACAGCGACTCGAACTGCGGCACCACGCTTTCCCCTTGGAGCAATAAGTTCAATTCCGTGGGAATCTCGATAAAGCGAGATCGCCCCTCTGCGCGCACCGCTGAATTGGTGGAGCCTTCCTGGAACATACGGACGTCGTCGGGATCCAGGTCGGATTCAGACTCATCCTCACCCACATCAGCAGCCGCTGAGGAACTACCTCCCGTCTCAGCGACTGGAACCACCAATTGAGTCTCCGAAGCGACGGTATCATCACGGCCTAAGCCAACCGGGGCAACCCCCATTGATTGTCCGCCCTCGAGGGCAGGCGCCGCAGCCGCATTCCTCTCCGCGTCCGCCGACGGGGAACCCAAATTAATTACCACAGGAGGAGCCGGCGCGAACGCGACCCTACGCCTTATCAACGGCCTCTCCTCCTCCCCATCTGATGACGATTCCGCTCTAGGGCGCACAACCCCCGATGGCCCCTCGTCCCGAAGTAGGGTCCGTGATGGAGAAGAAACTGCTGAAGACTCGACTGATGCCGCCCTCGGTGTTGAGCGCGACACCGGCGCTGCAGTAAGCCGAGCAACTGCACCAGGCCGACGGAAGGCCAGCTGAGGGGCCCTGACGCGGCGTGCCCTCCCTAATCACAAGAAAACAAGGTTAATGAATAGAGCTGAAGCAAAGCGGAACAGAAGAAGAGATCAATTTTTTACCTGCCGCGGGCCTACGGCCATGCCTCTCCCAGAAAGACGCCCACGTACGTATCCCCCTCGTATGGGGGAGTACGGCCTCGACCCACTCACGTATCCAAGACAATGGGGGCGGCGGCGACCTGTCGGCTACAAAAAAGACACGAGTTAACGCTCATAAGCACAAATCACAAAGAGGGGAAGAAAAGAGAATTCAACCACTAAAGAACTTACGTGCATGGTTCCAAGCCTCTGGGAACCCGGTAGCATCCGCCACCAGGTGCTTGGTCCTAATATAAAAGAAGTGCTCGAAAGGGCGGGGGTCGACCTCGTCATCCAATCTCATGACCAGGCCCCTCGACCCACGAGGGCACGCCTGAATCATGGTGCCGCGGACTCTCTGGGGAGCGTAGAGACTCAGCACATGCTGCAGCGTGACCTCCCTACGGGCCAATTCCGCGTACTTGATGAACATCGCCAACAATTTGTAGAGGGAAGGAGTGAGCTGACCCGGGCACACCCCGTAATAACGGCAGAAATCCACCACCAGCATTGGGAGCGGGATCTTGAACCCCAACCTGAAAGGGTAGGCGTAAAAAACGCAGTATCCCCTGCGGTCGGTGTTGACCCTCTCCTCGCTTCTAGCAAGAACGATGTCTGCATGGGTAGGAACGACCCCCTGTTCCCGCAATCGGGCCATCCCGATCTCCCCCATCAACGGGCTTCATCCACCGGTTCCTCTCCACTATCAACGGTGAAATCAATCGCCAGACCTTCGGGCCGAGGAACCACCTCGTCAACCGACGGAATTTCGCCGGACTCCATCTGTTCCGCACCTCCCATTGCCGGAGATGGCCCTTCAACTACCGGAAAATCTACCGGAGGAGCACCGGGGGAAGAACCGACTGCCATTGTTGATCTGCTGAAGACAAATGTTGTCACAATCAAAGGTAAGCAAAGAGAAGATGAATTAGCGAAACGAAAAAGTTTCCTCAGAATTTCTCTCTCAGATGAACAATGAAGATATGAGAAATGAATGCCTCAACCCACCTTTATAGGCAACATAAATGGCTTTTGCGAAACCCAATAGCCATCATTAACTGCACGACCAACCGTAAAACGGTTCGATTCTGTCGTAGCAATCGTCATTATGACGAGCTCCGCAAAGCGGCTTCTCAGCCATCCGCCAGCATACCGCCGTCAGAACAATCGCCACCACCTGCGAACACTGAAAGAATGAGCCGTACGCCGTTAAAATTTTGGACTTGACCAAATACATACCCGGCGCATACTCATTCCCCAGGGCCATCTCCAATATATGAAAGGCTACGGCCATCTTCAATGTATGAAAGGCTACGGCCATCTCCAATATATGAAAGGCTACGGCCATCTTCAATGTATGAAAGGCTACGGCCATCTTCAATATATGAAAGGCTACGGCCATCCTCAATGTATGAAAGGCTACGGCCATCCTCAATATATGAAAGGCTACGGCCATCTCCAATATATGAAAGGCTACGGCCATCTCCAATATATGAAAGGCTACGGCCATCTCCAATATATGAAAGGCTACGGCCATCCACAATGTATGAAAGGCTACGGCCATCCTCAATATATGAAAGGCTACGGCCATCTCCAACATATGAAAGGCTACGGCCAACCTTAACATATGAAAGGCTACGGCCATCTTTAATGTACGAAAGGCTACGGCCATCTCCAACGTGTAAACGACTAAGGCCACCGCCGCCAATAAGTCGACCCCCTTATTCGAGTTGTTTTCAAATCACAATCGATGAAGTCCGCTCATCGAGCTCGGCCGAAACACGACCTCGATAAGCGGAGGGACTAACTGTATGGGTCAGAATCCTACCCCACGATAATTAACGAGGCTAATCCCGTTTTAAGTTAATTCACGATTAATTAGTGGCACGACCACTAATAATTGACGACGTTCAACCCGCCCCTGGCTCGGTCAACAAAGGCCCTGGCCTATCCGCCACTATAAAGGCGAGATTTCAACGTGGCCACGGCCACTTATTGACAGCTCATGAAACCCATAGCTATAAATACCAAGAGAAGGGACCCTAGAAAGGGGCTGCTTCTTCACCACTAGTGAGAGGAGAGAGAAACAAGAAAATATACCCCTCTTATGGGAAGAGAAAACACCATTGTAAGGCTCTGAACCTCTTCATGGGGAGGCAGACCAAACAAATATTATCAATAAAGGTTTTTAATGCTTCTCCCCCTAATTCTGAGTTCTTATTTTCATTTCTTTCAATTGGTCCAACGGATTATTACGGTTTGCTATGATTATCCCGGGATTAATTTATATTGTTTTGTACTCGTAAGATGTGTAACATTTTTGGAGCAAACAATTTCCAAATACAAGGTTGAATCAACTCCAAAAGGGGAAAAGCAGAGAGTCAGAATAAAGAATGGCTGCTTTGGCCTTGACAGAGGAAAGATAATTATTTAAAGTTGAAATGAAAATATACCTCTTATATAAAACTGATCACACATCTGCCTGAAGGAATAGTGGTCTCCAGTACCAGTATCATAATTGTCCTCAAACACAAGATGCCTGAACCCAGCTTTAAGTGCTTGCTTCAGTCTGTCGATCAAAGTTCAAATCCAAACAAAACAGAGAATGAGTCAAAAATTTGCAAAAACAAGTGGCAACCGGCAAAGCCATAGAATCAGTGGATGCGGCAATTAAATAGATAATAATTAGACAAAATAGCGATGGAAGGAATTACTATTTTAAGAAAGCCACAATAGAGAATATCCATGTTACAAAAGTTTATATTACCTTTTCAATTCATTTTGATGGTCATCAAAAAAGACAAGAACCTGGCTAAGATCCTTGACTCCGTGTTTCTTCATAACTTTTCTCCAATCAACGCTTCCAAAATCAACAAAATCTTTTCCAGCAAAGTATGTGCAGTTCCCATCAACATAAGCAGGTCCTTTCTTGAGATACTTCTCAGGATGACGGGGTGTAAGTGAGATGATTGGTGTATCTGGCATTGCTTGTCTCAAAACCCAAGTTGAGTGTCCCTTGAATGCGCCACTCTCAATCATTAATTCTGGTTTTAACCACCGAGTCATAAACCAGAGCCCAAAGCTGTGGTCAAAACCCATCCCATACATGTTATTCTTGATAGGTCGTGTCTCATATATGGGCACAAACTCCTCCAAGCCTTTGATTAAATCCTTTGTGGTCCATTCAACAGTTTTTCCATGTTTCGATCTGCCTTTTGGCAAGAGTTAAAATTAACTAAAGGTGCATTGAATCATATGAATTTCATTGCTCAACAACTGAATTGAGTATTCAAATAGATATAACTGGTTTTCACTCAACATCTCCCTTATCTAGAAAAGGAAAATGACATCTATGTAGATGAAATATACACGCATACATAGGCACCCGTGGAAACAGTTGTTTCATTTGTTGACCACAGATCCAAAGTGCAGCTTAAGACATTATTTGGTAAAATAACTTCATGATGATAAACCATTTTAGCTCCGCTGTGACTATATATATTAGACTGAAACTACTAGAAAGCCAATTTGTTCAGTTTATGCCACACACTATGGAGCTCATAATTATCAACTATAGAAGAACATTAAAGTTAGGAGGCTATAATTGATTCATTCTATGCCAGACTCTGAATCTTTTAAATGATCATCAATCAAGGAACACTAAAGTGAATGCGGATAGATACAAACTAAAAAAAAACAGAGTCTCAGCTTTGAAACTAGATGTACAATTTCTGGAAATGTGGATAGCATTTTCAATTATCAAAATGCCTTGAAATTAGACGTGCAATTGAATCCCTTTACTGATAAGCCGAACATCCGGACGCAATTCTCAATATAAAAAAAATAAAAATAAACCAGATCTGGATAGACACTAAAATGGGAAACGCAATGAACTTACACCAGGGAACGCCGAGAGATCCGAAGTCGGTTTCAAGGCCATCAAAGCCGAAGAATCGCAAACGAGAAATGTGATCGGAAGAGGAAGCTGAGATACACACTAAATCACGAGTGTGATAAACGAAAGAAGTGAGCACAATGATTACGAGCCCTATGAGAAGGCATGGCCAGAGGTGGCCGGTTCGAATCAAGTAATTTGTGATCTTCGTCGGTACGGAAATGTGCTTCCGTGTTTTGGATTGGTCGCCGTCGTCGTCTCCGTCGTCACTGAACGGCGGCGCCCTGCGAGAAGAGAGCGCCCTTTCTAGCATCGTCCTCGTTTATGCTTTCGCCTCCTACTCTACCCTCACTCCCACTCTATGCTTCTTCTCTGTTGTGTAAAAGAATCGTTTTTTATTTGCTGGACACGGAACTTGGATTAGTACTCCGATGCGGATGGAGAGAATTTTAGTTGGAAAATTATACTTTGACCACTCAACTTTATATGTAAATCAAAATGCCCCTAAATTATTTGTAGTAGTGTTTTTCAGTTTCTAAGTCTTTTCATAATGCTACATTGCTCCATCTAGCCAAGCAGGGATATTACTCTGCCGAAAATTAATGATCAAGAGTCAAGACATGATTAATTTAGGACTTTTATTGTAAAAGATGTGTTAAATTGACAACAACAAAAAATAATGTTTTGGATATACAAAAAAGTTCATAATCTTCTACCGAAAAGATATTAATAATGTGCCTATGGTACCCTTTTATTATTTTTTTCGTTTTTTCTCATCTCACTATATATTGGTGAAACAAATCGATCTTGTTAATAAGCTATTAACTATTATTCTTTTGGGACGGAGTGCGGAGATAAATAATCGTACGTATATTTAACAGTCAACATTGACATCATTAATAACGTAGAGTCTACATAATCGTATTTAAAAGTTAGTTACATAAAAACCCATCATAATCAACTAATTGTTTGACAAAAAAATGATAATATTTGGTTATACTAATTAATCAGTTATTAAAGAGGGTTAATTCTAATTAAAGTTAATAGCTTCAGATCTTGGGTTGACTGTACGAACGGTTAGAACAGTGAAGAAACGGAATTAATATGCTAACAATAAATTTGTCAGATGCAATAATGTGTATGGAGCATCAAGTATTAAATAATAATCAATAGCAATAAATGTAAATAAGGAGAAAGATTCACCCAATATTGAATGAGCTGAATGATTCCTCTTTCTGACAATGATGAATGACAAGAATATAAGAAAGTGTTGAACACTTTCTCGGGTCTGGTGGAAATGACAATACATAATCCAAAAAATGATCGAATCTCTCCAGAAAGTTATCCTTTGTATTTATCTAGAAAGCTTCCTTTTCAAAAGTGTTCTTATCATATAGAATATTGCTTGTCTTTTGCCTTATCTCTCATACTATTTATGTGGGACATTCCCAAAGAACCCTAAAAGATACAAATAGAGAGAATATTCACTAGAATATTCCCTATGAAGGTTCCAAAACTATATTAGCCGTTACTTTTATCTATGCGGCTCGACCTCGGCCTTGATGAACCACTCGGTGGCTTGTTCTATTGATCACTGCTCGACCTCGGACTGCCCGCATTGATTTGTAGGTCACTCATGACAATCATCTCCGCGTGTCGAATTTTTTTAGTTCGATTTTGACCCATACAGTTAGTCCCTTCGCTTATCGAGGTCGTCTTTTGGTCGACCTCTGATGTTCGGCTAAAAAATGCATATATTTAACCGTTGTTGCCTCACATTCTAGTACTTTTAATCGTCTTTTGAGTATTAATTATATTACTTTGTGCTTAATATTATATTTTAATTGTGTAGGAATAATGCGGTGTGAAGATGAAGAGATTTGGAGCAAAATTGAATAAAACACGGAAGAAAAAAAAAGAAAAAAAAAAGGGGGACACCCTCTGAATTTGTCCCCCCAAATGCAAGACAAAAATACAAAGAGTTAAACAGGGCAAACAAAAACGTACATAATGAATTGAAGGAATTCAACGTGAAATGCTCACTGCTTTCAGCGCCAGGACCAGCGCTAGGCGCTGGCCTGGACACTGTATTGCGGAGGGGTTTCCTACTTTGCTCGGGACAAGGTTATTTTGGTCCTACACGGTCCTAACTTGCATAAAAGGGGTCCTAAACCTATTTTGGAGGGAGGAGAACGTTTTTTAGAAGAACTTTTGACCAAGGGAGAGCACAGAGCCGCCATGGAGGCCGGGTTTCATCTTTTCTTCCACCAAACTTAGTAATTTTTATGATACTTTATATGATTTGTTGTTTGGCTACCATGTCTATGTGGAGCTAAACTTCACTTTCTAGGGTTGTGGTTCTTTCATGACTATTGTTATTCGGATATTGATTTGATTTCTTGATTTATCGTATTAGTTTATTTATTCAATCCTGCGCTTAATTATTTAATTGCTTGATCACCAATTGAATACTATCTACGAATCTAGAATTGAACTCGAAAGTGGGAATTCTAGATTGCTTATAGGATTGAGTAAGGCAAGTTCTTTTCCAGAAGCTCATCGAGTTCTTCTGACTCGACTCTTTCACAACTGCATTCAATCCTTTACCAACCATCTTTCTAAATGTACGCATCGTCGTATTATGAATAAGAACGAGTTTAGGAAATTGTGTTCTTACAACTGAGCTCTACCACACGATCTAGAGTAAGAAGAAAGAGTGACAGTCCTAAATGCCGTGTAGCCTCCTGCTTATAAGTGTGGTGCACGATACACCCATAAACAAGATTCTACTAGACACGGCTTGTAGAGTCCCTAGGACAGAACTGCTCTGATATCACTTTTGTCACGCCCGAGCCTGGATGGGCCGCGACGGGCACCCCGTACCTTACTTAACCGAGTACCAATATAACGTATCTTTTCATGTCATACTATCATAGATAACTGAGCCGGAAGGCTGCCGTGATATAAGTAGAATACAACATGTGATACCAACTTATACATAAGGCATACGGGCCTATAAGGCCAAAATAACCATTCGTACACTGAACATAGGCCGACAAGTCCATATAATCTTTACGTACATGACGTCTGTCTACAAGTATCTAAGAATACATAATTTTCATAAAGGTCGGGACAGAGTCCCACCATATCAAATAATACACATCTAAATCATACTAACCAAACAAGCAACTCCGAAGCAAATGGAGCGCACCAACATCTTCCGCTGAGCTAATAGCCTACTTGGAGGGCTCTCGACCTGTCTATCGAGACCTGCGGGCATGAAACGCAACGTCCCCAGGCAAAAGGGACATCAATACAAATAATGTACCGAATATGTTAGGAATAAAAATTAGTAAATAGTGGACATGAGAGAAACATGGAGTAGAAGACTCGACATGTAAATCTGAATGACTCTGTGAATCATTAATATGTATAATGCCATGCATATCCGTATAAATGTCATGTCGTGCATAGGTACATGTGTTCATAACATCATCAAGCCTCTGAGGGTATCCCATCATATCATCCCGGCCATTGTGGGCAAATCATCAACGTATACCAGCTGATCAGGTGGTGGTGCGTATATAACGCTTAACCTTTTCCCATATCCCATATATATATATATATATATATATATATATATATATATATATATATATATATATATATATATACGCGTATATAATGCCATCTGGTCATGGGTCAATGTACATGAATGCAATGCATGAAAAGTACGTCAATAAAATCTCTTGGAGTGTTATAAGACCATTATGCCTTTGAATAATATCATGAAGTAAACTTTTTCAACTTACGTATTTTTCTAAGACCCATGAACAGATGATAGAATAATATGACACGTTGAGAATCTAGAACATAAGCATCTATAGCATTTTTATGAATAGAGTCATTTATGGAAATTGTGCATTTGCTCATTTAGTCTGTGTCGTATAGATCATGCCAAAAGAAAGAAAGGATAGCCTTAACATACCTGGAGTAGGGAAAAATCTGTATGATGTTCTTGGAAATGGTTGCACCCCACTATGAGCCGAGGCAACATACAGACTACCAAATAACACAAATATCAACTTTGCAAAGCGTAGAATACTCTTCATTTTTTCGCTCAATTGACACATAGAGTGAAACAAGTACTTCCATTTACTTATCAGGAATCCAAGAGAGGCAGTGGAATTACTTTATCTGTTAGTCAATATCAGAAGTAAGAACTTAAGACCTCAATTCAGAGATTTTAGCAAAAGTCTGCCGGCTGTTGCGTGAAGATTCCAAGAATTATTCCAATCATGGTAGTCCACTTAGTATGTTCACCTAATCCAAATTGATTTGTCTTGAGATTAATACACTATGTTGCCACCTAATCTAAATTGATCAAGAGTCATTTGGTGGGTTAATATCTTGCTGCCACATGGGGGTGGAGAGGGGTTTTAATCTTATTCCATAACTAATTAATTAATTAGGTAATATTCCGTTACCCAGTAATCAACCAATTACCCGCATAATTAAGAATTGTCTCAAATTACTTAAAATTCTACTTATTTTTATTACCCTTTTATATATCATACTACCACGGTCATATGGTACCATGTATGGTACTAGTCCAAAAATATCGGGTATTAACGCTCGGCCCAAATTTTATCCCAACATGCCAAACTTGGACGAAAATTCATTTTCTTTGACTTGCTTCCCCTCTCACCTTCACGAATTTACTCATTACTTCTGAAATAGCATAATCCTTATAATCTCCAGATAATCTTTTCCTTGGACTGATGTTAATTACCTTACGTAAAATACTACATGGTGCAACATCGTAGTAATTTAATACTGCAAAGCGTAACATCATCGTAATGTTGTGGGGCGTAACAACAACATTCCTGCCCACATCGACCTGGTCCCAGCTGGCGACGACGTAATCCATATTCATCGTTCTAAGTATTGTGCATTTTACGCGTACCCGTTCTAAGTGGGCTATTCTCTTCCCCCCCCCCCCCCAGTTGGCGGAGGAATTATGTCGCTACTACAGTATCTGTCCGACCTAGCTCTCCCCCTATATTTACAAACTCTTTCTTATGTTGATCAAGTAGGAGCTGACCAACTACGGGATTTCCATCTGCCACCTGCTTCATCTTTTCGCGCAAAGCTTTCACAAAGGTACGATGATACACCTCCGCCACCATGGGACCAAGGGATTGGTGGTGAGAATGGACGATAAGGCAAATCGTCGATTTTAGTTCAACTTCTTCTACATCAAGACCGAGCACGTGGTGGCGAACCCCGGTGGATTCCCTGAAGCATGGAACTTCGCCCGTAAGTGTTTTTGCTAACTGATTACTTGTTTTGTCTCTCTCCGGTGATTTAATCGTTCTTCCTCTTTTGTGCAGCCGAGAGGGACCCTCCT